TTCCATTTCAAAAATAATGAAATCATAAAGCCTCCTACATTGTGTGCCCCATGCTCTTGAAGTTGCTTCCATGAAACTGAATTTTTGCTTGAAGTCAGATTTGGTTTTGGTTAATATGGCTTCTAATGATCAAATTGTTGCGTGTTTTTAACTTAAATATGTTTAACCAAGTTGCAAAGCATGATTAGAGCCTTGAAACGCAAGAATTAGATGAATTTTAAGCAAGTTTAAGTCACACTTTTCTCATTTTCAGGCTTCACCCAATTTCCCTCCAAACCTCACTATTTCTTCCAATTCTTTTCACCATTCATTTCCCTATAAATAGAGGATTATTTCTCACTTTTTTCCTCAAGTTTGGATAGCCAAAGAAGCTCTGTCAAACTTCTTCCATCTCTCTATTTTCTTGGTTTTCGATTTTTCATTTTTCACTTCCAGCTCTTATTTCTTGATCGATTCTTCATCACTGAACTCTATTGAAGCTAATAGGAGAAGAACAAAGCCTTGAAGCGCTCTAAATCGTTCTAGTCAAGTCAAGTTTCAGAGCAAAATTCTCATACTTCGTCCAGATAGATGACTCATTCATTTTGCCTCAAACAAGTTCCTAATCTACTCTCCTCATCTCTCTAAAGCTCACACTTCTTCTAATTTTCATTTTCATTGAGAATTGATCATATAATCTCAGAAATTTGTGCTCGCTATTTTTTGTTTCTTTTGCAAATTAAGCAATACACAATTTATATAAATATTTCGCTAGCCATGGTTGAGTTCGTCTCAGTGAGACGTTTCAAATGATATCGGCCTCGTGAACGTTGGAAATCATTTTTTATTTTCTCCGGGGAAGGTCACTGAAAAAGATGACTAGAGGAAGTTCACGGTGGCTCTGCAATTTTTAAATTATTTTCCCTTGTGGATCAATCAGAGCGTGACACTTAAAATATTCTGATTGACTGATCTAAAATAAACTCAATGTTTTTATTTCACTAAATTTCATGGTACATGCGCACTCTAGACCACTTGATGTGATTACTTTGCATAGTCACCTCAAATCCAACACACCACCATTTTTCTCCATTTATTTTCTTTTTCTAATTCTATTTTAATTATTTTCATATTTAAAAAATCAAAGTCATTCAAACTTTATCCAAAAAATATAAAAAAATTCACAAAAATATTTTATCTTATTTCTTATTTAATTTTTTTTTTTTAATAATTTTTGAATGAGTTTTGGTATTTTAAATAATTATTATGTTATTTGTTTGGTTTTAATTAGTTTAAAAATACTTTTCTTGATTTTAAAATTCTGAAGAAAAAAATTATAGAAGGATCCGATGACCTCCTGACAATTATTGGAGACCTAATTTTATTTTATTTTTTAATTTTACTATTTTTCACATATTTTAGCTTATTTTACATATTTCTTTATATTTTAAAAATAGTTTCTGACTTTAAAAAATTCTAAAATTTTTTGTCAACACTTGTTGACTCATGTTTGACCTCTGATATTTTTTTATGATTTTTATTTGGTATTTTAATATATGTCATGTATTTTACCAATTATTTCCATTTTATAAATTATTTAAATTTTGTTTTTATATTAAATATATTTTATTATTTTTATGATTGGTTCTGATTTGAAGATACTTGAGTGTTATTTTGGGATAAGTTCCTCAACCTCATTGGATCTTGAGCGTTAATATGTTGAAAAATCAAATCCACCAAAATGAATGAAGGATGATGATATTTGAAACTCTAGTTTCATCTGATACATTGGTTACATTATCATTCCCCTTCCTCTTCATCTTATTCCTTTCTTGTTTTTACTTGTGTTACATGTTTTTGAAAAATGATCTACATATCATTTCTCTAACATGTATAGTACATAGATTGTTATTGACCGACCTCAAAATAGGTGTGATTTCTACATATGTCCAATTATGATTTCTTAACATAGCGCTAAATTTGTCCCGATTTGAAAAATGATTATTCGTGGTCCAAACCTATATTTGCAAGCCCAAGTTTTTTTAATTTGAAACATTGAATCCAATAACTTTGAAGTTCATTGTTAGGAGACTTTGATTCTATAATCCTTTAATGAACTTCATGAATTTTGATCTAAGTGAACCGTTAGAACATCGTTGATCATATGTGATTGCCTTGAGTACTTGAAACGAATGATATACTTGACAAAAGGTAAATGAAACTTATTGTTAAAAGGCTTTGATTTTATCAATCTTCTAATGAGTTTTGAAAAATAAGCTTTAAGATGGTCATTCAACTAACCTTTTGTTATACTTGACCTCTAACTACTAATTCACTAACAATTAAATTTACTTTATGTTTTTACTTTGTGCCTTTACTTTTATGTACCATTTATTTTTTAACATTTATATTTCATACCATTTTTTTTTGCTCACTTGAAAATTTATTTGTGTCATTTTTTCGTTACTCATTTGAGCTTTTCTTTTCTTTTAAAGACACTTAATAATAAACTTGAACCTTAAAAGACTTATTTCTTTATGGACTACTTGGTTACTATCCTCGACATTATGGAGTTGTGGATCTCCCAGACTTAAGATTAGAAGCCTTGATACTTGGGATTTACTCTGAGGTATTGGGTTAATTTTCTTTGTGTGCAGGTTATTCTGCCCAATTTTTATGAAGACTTAATTTATCTGAAACTTTTTGTTCCTCAGAGGTTTAGTATTTTTGCTTGCTTGATTTTAATCCAAAGGATGTGAATTCTACATTGGCTTCTTTTGTCGATTTCTTCTTGGTTAGATCGTTTTTTTCCTTGAATTTTACTTTATGCTTTAGGATAGTCCCTTCATCTCCTCTTATCTTCTTTAATTTTAAAAATCTTCTCATTTCTTTTCAAAACTCTTCTTATTTTCTAATTTGAATCGTTTTCATAATAAACTTGGACTTAGGTCTATTTGTTTTCAAAAATCTTTTCTTAATCAAACATTAATCAATTTAATCTTACTTTGACACCTTTTTTTGAAAGACTAAAAGTCATTAACCTCATTCAAACTATTTTGTCACTTTGCCTTTTTACTTTAAAACTTTTTCTCAAAAGATTAGACTCTTATCGATTTTTGTAGTGACGCAAGCTATTATACTTCTACGATATATAGTGAAGAGAACTATTTTCCACTTGGGTGTTGAATGATAGATTTTAAATCCAATTTATATCCTCCATTTTGAGATGACGCAAATGCTCATTTCTCATAATTGTGGATAGTAAGTATGTTTTCCACTCCGATATGACGATGACGTCTCTTCTCTAAAAATTAACCAACACATGTGGTTTAAATTTTTTGAGGTGAACTACGAGTACCCTGATTTCCTATTGCACGGAAGGTGGTATGTAGGCACTAAAAATTCGCAACCGCGGCGGATACAAAAATTATAAAAAAATATTTCTTTTCTCATTTCCACCATCTTACTTTATATATTTTTTTTATAGCCAAAATACACAAATTTTCAAAAAAGTTCATGCGAAATACTGTAGATGTTTAGGATGTTAATACATTCCCTTTGCATAACCAACCTCCGTATCTAGATCATCTTTCTCTTTTTTAGTTTATTCGCTCTTTTTCTCATTTCCTTTAGAAATAATAAAGTGTGGTGACTATTTTTATTTCATCTGTATGTGTTAAGTCAACTCAATGGCTTAGTCTCAATATTTTTACCGTTACACTAAAGATAACACGAATTAGAATTATAAGTGTCGATTGTGAACCATCTCCACTTGCCTTCTTTGAAGACTTATCAACGGAGAGTGGAAGTGGGACGCCTTCTCTGAGGTCTTTAGCACAAACGTAAACACACAACAGTATAATCAAACACACGTAATAATTTCCTGCTACAAGTCTTTTAAACAACGACTTTCCTCAAAGGGACTCCCAGAACATGCATCTCTATCCTATTTCTCATGACATCCAAAAGCGATAAAACATACATCTCTATTCATACTTCTCATGGAAAATAATTTAAAATATAATGCGAAATATAAACAGAATCAGAAACAATATCAAACAAACAATAATTTTGTAACAAAGCGATATCAAAGCAAAGAAACCCGACGCTCTTCGTGCAAGTTTCACCAAGTAAAAGAGAAATAATCAGAAAAGACATTTAATATAAGAATTAAAGCATCGCCATGTGAAAATAAATCACAATCGAAATGTGCATCAAACAAGCTCAAGGCATCAGATAAATGCTTAAAGCGTCGGATAAGAATCCATGTCATATAAAATACAAAACAGAACATGCAAATAGGATAACAGAGAAATAACCCGAACATCTCCGAGTGAATTAGAAACATGTATCAAAACTAAAACGAGACAAATAAAATATGAAAATGGATGCTTAATTAATTAACTTAAAAGTTGATTAAGTTAATTAATTAAATTAAGAAAAGTTAATTAATAAGAACTAATTAATTTTTAATAATCAAATTAAATAACTAAATCGACTTTTAGTTAATTAATTAAAAGCAACAAAGTAACATGAAATAAAAGTTTAGTCGATTAATCAAGAGTTGATTAACTTAATTAATCGAGTTAAGAAAAATATATTAATAAACTAATCCATTTTTAATAACAAAATTAAATAAGTAATTTAACGCTAGTTTAATCAATTAAACGCGGATAAAAGGTGGAAAGCGGAAGCAGCTACTTGATCCGTTATGAGAAGCTTGCCCAAACTAACAAATAAATTAATATTTATAAGATATAAAAATCAAAATGAAATCAAATGAATGCCCATGAACAAATGAAAAACCAAGCAGTCGAAAATTCATGTTATTATTCGATACAACCACAAATATCATCACTTAACACCTTATTCCAATTGTTCTCCACCAAATAAACTCAAGATCAATCGCTATTTCAATCCACAATGAAAACAAGAATAAAAAATTCACATTACATTATGAAAAAAAACAAATTCAAAATAGACTTTTAATCCTCTAATCAAATCCGGGCAGCAACTACCGTATGAAACAATGCTCGAAAAACTCAATTTCAAACATGTCTGGCACGAAAGGGAACAACAAAGTAATGCCAACTGAAATATCTTTCGAAATCAAAATCAATCGGTCAACACAAGTCATCCAAGTCTCCTTACAGTCAAAATCAATCGGTCAACACAAGTCATCCAAGTCTCCTTACAATCGAATTAAACAAAGTGACGCAACATTAAACTCAAATCAAGATACAAACCAACAATATTGAATTTCCATCTCAGATTCCTATTCGTCTTAACATTGTTAACATGGTATTATGAACAAAATTTGAACAACAGAGCTATCAAAATAAATAAAGCCAACATCGGAACTTCATCAAAATTCAACACAAGTTATTAGCACTTCTCTCAGATTCAACACACATCATGATGATATTGCTGATCAACGCGAATTCAACACATGAACACAAACTCGAACAAAAAACTTTCAACATCCTATTCCTATTCGGATTCAAACAGTAATAACAAAAACCTGATGATGCCTTCAACAATTCTAATTCAGCCAGATTCAAAACAAATGAGCATAAATTCTGTGCTGACATCGAAACTGACATTCAGATTAAAATGAACAGCATAGTATTGATAAGAATTTCACCATACACAAGTTAAGCAGAATTGGATCCTAAAGAGCGTAACTGTTCACAATTCAAAACGAAGATGGAAATCGGCAGAATCATCATTTCCACAGCACAACAGTTCAAACCAATTTATCACAATCAAACCGAGATTATCACATAGATTATCACAATCAAACCAAATTACGGAGATTACCACAGATTTCACAGCATAATAGTTATCAGAGACAACACAAAGCATCACAGTTATGTGAATTCAAACAAGAACAAACAAGTAAGGATCGAAAATTACCGAAACGTGGAAGCTAATGGCGGTGGCTTAACGGCGGAGGAATGGTGATTGCGAACACAGATCGATGTATGAGTGGATGAGCGTCGGAACTGTTGTTGCTGCAGATAGCGTGAAGGTTAGCAGTTCGCTGAATTGAACGAGCTCGCGGAAGCTGATAGCAGTCGAAGGAATTTATGACGGTGAAGGGAAATCAGAGTGAAGAAGGGAGAACGGAGGATAGTTACGGTGAGGTTTGAAACTGTTGTTGATGAATACGGTGGAACGATGAGACTGAAGCGGAGTGATGCTTCCCGTGAAGAACAGAGGTTGGATAGCGGAATAGAGATGGAAGTTATGCGATTGATGATGGTTGAAGATGATGGAAGGTGATGGTGGGAACGAATGATAAACGGTCAGCGATGATGTTGATGGTGAACAAGTGAGGTGAGCGGCGGATGTATTTGGTGAGGAGACGGAAGGAGTAAGGGGAACAGTTTCAGGACGGAGGATGCTGGCGGAAGGGATGGTGAGTGGTGATGAGGAAGATGAAAGATGGGTCTTAATCGTGAATAAGAAGAATGGATCCGTCTCCCCTATATATTTACCAACCTCTCTTATCCTAAAACAAACTTAGGTTTCTAGATTCTAGATGGCCAAAAAGCTCCTATCGATATAAATCAACATAAAACTAAAGATTAAAAAAACACATTTTAAAATATTTTTGTTTTAACTTTTAAAAATAAAAAATATATATATTTAAAATTGTAAAAAATGATAAAAATTTGAACGTTAAATCATTCAAAAAAATTAAATAAATATATTAAAATAAATTACGGATCTCAAAGATTAATAAAAAATTGTCAAAATCGAAATAAAATGATAATAAAGAATATTCGACTGCAAAACGCTTATTGTTAAAAACGAGATTTTAAAATGTATCAAAAAATTAAAGCAAACACATTGTCACGATATGTGTGAAACGTAGATTCACAAAACAGTCAGAAAAGAGTGAAAATTCGAAATATTTTCCCGCTAATATTCCGTACAATGTTGAATCATTTTTAACAATATGTCCAAAAAATTGAAATATCAATATTATCGACATATAAATAATTTGAAGCGATACAACAAACATGTAAAGAGATAAAAATGCATGAAGTGAAATATCAGATATTTTTCAACTATAAAACGATGCAAATGTTGATTTAGACTGACTTTTGGTCAACCTAATTACGACTAAATGATACAGATGTAATGAATGAAGATGTTTATTAAAGATTGTGACCAAATAGCAAAATATGATATGATAATACGACTAAAAAAATTATGGGCAAAAGTTACTTGAAAATATGTCAAAAATCCACAATATGACATCTGATGTACTCAAACTTTTGATAGCCTTCTACACATAATTAACTATTGACTTGTAAAGAGAAGTTGGAGATGATGTCAAAGAGATTCACATGCTCGAAGAAATAATCAACAATATTGAATAATGAAGAAGTTATGATTATTTGAACTCGAACTTGCAAATGTTGACTTTTGGTCGACTAACTTTGAATTAACTTGCAAATTTGATCGTTCTCCACAAACCAAGGCACTCTTAATCACATATGAACTTGAGATGATGAAAACTTGATTAAACCACTGTTTACCGTGGTTTTTAGTAAACAACCGCTGATCCTCCAAAAAGGAAAAGCCCTTTTGGCAAAGTAAGGATTGGAATACATTCAGGGAGATCCAGGTAAGCTAAACAGATCCTCAGGCCTTCTCAAAACTTGCTCAAACTCCATTCACGATCTCAACTGAAAGAGGTAAAAACTTAAACTTATATCTCTTCATACAAGCATCCTTTGGTCTTGATTTATGAAAACAAAATATAGATATCCTTGCACTAAAGCCAACCATGTTCATAGATTTCATTTATATTCATTGTGTATAGAGAATTTTGGATTTGAAATTTCTGTAAAAATTAGGTTTCAAATTAGGGCCAGTAAAATTAGCTTTGATCTTTGACTTTTAGTTTACAAAAATTATATGTTTGAAATCGTGGGAAGAAACACTATCACTTTCATGTTTGGATTTTCCATTTTCATGGAGAAATGAGAGAGATACAGGTGGTCCGACCAAGGCTCAAGGTTGAAGATGAAGTTGCCTTCAGGAGGCGTTTTCTAATATATATATTTATGTCTTTGTTTATATGAACGTATGTACAGTCACCCTAGTGGTAAGACAGCGCACAAAAATGCATAGGCCATGAGTTCGAGCCTTAGCGCCTGTCTTTTTGCAATTTTTCATATTTTTCCAGTTTTTTTGGGCCTTGTTTTTTTTTCTAACCTCCTGCCTCTTGATTGCTTGCAGCACCCCCTGGCCCATATCATTTATTTATTTATTTATTTGTTTTCATTTTTATTTTCTTAAAAATATTTTCTTAATATTAAAACTCATAAAAAATATAAAAATGCTAGATTTATATTTTGGTTCATTTTATTTTATTTTTCTCATAGAAAATATTTTTATTTAGTTACATATCATATATTTGTTATAATAAACTTGTAAATTAAATTATAACTAGTTAGATACATATATTTTTTTATAAATTTATTAAACATATTATTTTAATACAAAAAGACCAAGATACCTCATAAATACCATATATTATTTTTCAAGACAAAAAATGCAAAAATACTTACCTTTTCTTAAAGAAATTTATTTTCTTTTAATCAAATAGAATTAGGGTTTATAAAAAATATTTCCTAAAAAATAATTTTTTTTTCTAATTAATTTGAGATAATCTTGATTTATTTATTAGGGTTAGGTTAAAACTTTTTCCACATAAAAAATCAAAGAAAATCTTCTTTGCATTCATACATCTTTGCATATTTAATTTATCTTGTATATTATTTATTCCAATATTTGTACATATTCAATTTGGTTGTAATAGATTAATTAGGTTTATATTATTGCAATTCCCATTTATAAATTGTATACCCCCCCCCCCCCAACCACAAATATTGTAATAGCGTAGTAACATTTAAATTTCACAATTTATCGCTTTAATATAACATGCTAGTAATTAGGGTTTGTATGGCAAGATAAAATCAATCAAATAGAAAACCCTAATTCAAGACAAAATCAAGCATGAAAATTACACACTTGCATACTAAACACCCCTAGGGTTATCCCACTTGGTTGCCTTATACAAAATGACCATATTACGCATGTAAGGTGTCTTAGAAAAAAAACAAATACAAGATCATAGTCCCTCGATGACGCTATTCAAAATTGCCTTACAAAAATGATCTTAGTCCCTCAAAAATGCTAAGATACTTTACAACATTGTTAATCATGGCTATACGATGATCCACGCCCGTCCCGTTTACATCCAAAGATAGGGTTGCTTACCAAATCAATGGTAAGACAACAATGTCAAAGGAAAAGAAAATGAACAAGAAAGACATTTGAGTAGGTAGATTACTTTTAGTTACTTGCTCCATTTCAAAACAAATATCCTTGCTATTTTCAAAAAAAAAAAAAACACACTTCCAAACATCTTACAAAAATTGAAAACATTTTCAAAAAGATCAACATCTTTGTATACATTCTTAAGAACGAGAATCATTACAAAGATTGCCTAAACAATGGCCTCTTTTACAAAAATACTTCCAAAACCACACAAAGCACAATTTCAAACAAAAGCAAGTGATCTAGCAAGTAACTAAGAGCCCATGGAAAACCATGGATGAAAAGGGTGTTAATACCTTCCCTTTTCATAATCTACCCCCCGAACTCAAGAAACAATCTCAAAGGTCTTTCCTGTGCTTTTTCACCTTTCCTTTTGGATAAAAGAAAAGTCGGTGGCGACTCTTGCTAACGCGACATTTGCGATCAAACGCAAAACAATCAAGTCAGTTTTCCCACCGCATCACAGTAAGCATCATTAAACTCGAATTTGTGATTCAGCTTGCATTCTTGTTGAAGATCATGTGCATTGTGGTTTAGCTGGCCAGATCTTAGATCTGATATATATCCATGTGTGAATTGACGTGTAAATTGTGCTCTACAAGTTGCTTGAAACTTTGAATGAAACAAGACCTTCGTGCTCAGATCTTTATGTAATCTCACATTATTTATGAAATTTATGTTTATCTTGTTGTTCCTTGCACTTTTCTGATGAACTTTAATGTTTGGATCAAGTAAAATGGTTAAGAATCGAGCGATATATTTGAATATGAAAATTATTTGATGAATTGCTTAAATCAAAAACATGTTCATGCACAAACTTTAGCACTCTAATTTATTTATGATTCATTCATCATTTCATGAAATTCTTGATCCTATTGTGTTATATGCATTTTAATCTTGAACTTTGATGTTTATATTTTAAATTTTTCATGGAGAAATAAGGATGATATCGTGTCATGAACTCTGCATGTTAAAACTGTAAAAACATGTTAGGGCTTGGTCTTTTGGTAGGGACGAAGAGGTGGCGCATTTTGATTCGTGCATACATAAAGCTTTTCACAGCGCATTTTGCATATAATAGGTGTAATAGGTTTTAATATTTTTGAATTTTCATTGTTTTCTCTAATTTTGATTTAATATTTTTCTTAATTCAAAAATCATCATGAAAATATCCTAAATTCCATTTTTAGTATATTTTCATATTATGAATTTTATTTCATATTTTCATCATTTTTTTTATGATTAAATAATTCAATTAGCTTAATTAGGTTTTTTAATCATCTTTTAGGTTTTAGAATTTTATTTTCTAATTTTTACTAACATAAAAAATCCACAAAAAATATTTTGAGTAGCCTTCCGAGTCTTCTTCATGAGAAATTTGTTTGTCCTATTTTAAAAAAAAAATTAGCACTCTAATTAAATCAATTGGTTAGTGGCGTCATTCTTTTTTTCAGTTTTGTTGCATTGTGCAAATATTTTCTGTTTTAATTTTTTCTTTTAAGATAAAATTCCAAAAAAAAATGTATTTAGTGATCTTTAGATATTGATATAATTTTTCATGATTTTTATTTGAATTTACAGTTCAGTTTTCTTATTTTTCAAAATTTCAGGAGTTAATTGATGTTTTTGAGGTCTTCTCTTGCTTAAGCTTAAAGAAACAATTAAACCTCTAACTTCCTTCACTTCTAAAAATCAAGAAAAATGGATTTGATGTTCTTGCATGATTCAAGGTTACAAAATGATTTTGTTGGATTTTTACCCCTGACTTTACATTTTCTTTTAAATAATTTGGTCAAACCTCTCTAGTTTGAGCCTTTTGCCAACTAGCTTTGATGATTTCCAATCATTCTCACCTTTCAAAGTTAATCCAAGAACTAAAAATGATGTTTCTGACTTTATTAAGTCTTTAGGAAGTTATAATTAATTAGTATGATTTTACAAGTCCCTTTCCTATTTTTAACCTAATTTTGACTTAGGAGTATGCTTAGGGTTTTTACTTTGATCAAAAAGTTTGTAGTTAAGAATTTGTGTGCATAATTTTAGGCTAACTTTTGGCACGGAATATGATACTGACTTGGGTGTTATTTTGAGACAAATTCCTCAACTCATTGGATCTTGGGTGTTGATAGGTTGAAAAACCAAATCCACTAAAATGGATGAACGAT